TAAAGATATCGATGTTCCTCACAAATACGCATTCAATTTTACTAACAGTAAAGGCTTCTCCACCCTGAATCATAGATTGATGGTTCAAATCTCGCCATGGGCATGGAACAACTTTAAATAGTTTGGCCACTTCTCCCTCCCAAGGTGCCTCCCATGAGCGAGGTAAATTAGTCACTATTATCGACGGTGGACACCCTTCTATAAATAAAAAATAAAAAAAATTGTACATTAGAAGCCTTAAATATCTTCAACCATATAATAGTACGTCAATGTGCATGCGCTAGGGAGAGATTTTGTTCCTGAATAGGGATAGATACCCAACCCTGAAAGCGGTTTGTAGCTTCAACTAGGAGTCGATGTCGTAAGTATATGCTCAGATTGTTGAATTTAATGGGCGGTATTAATTGGATACATAAATTATCCAAACTGTTGCATAACCAATGGTAGAATGACAAAGGAATATGTTCCTTGTTCTCCTTTACTTCGACATAATCGCCCGGGATTCCATTCTTTCCTTTCTTTCCTTTTTTTTTCAAAAAATAAAAATAAAAATTGCTTCTATGCAACTACTATTAATAAGTATTAAATCCACCAAATAACAAGATTTGGCAAATGGATCATTTGGAAGCCTGCTAAATGATGGGCGGAAGATGCCAACAAAAACGACAACGTTGAAGAAAAGGGAGAGGGACCATCTCAATTAATTATCGGCCATCTCATTGCGAGTTGTACTAACGAATCTGCTATTTCTGGTAATTTTAATCGGGCAAGTGGAATTATCATATTGTTTAATTAGCTTCCAGACGTAAAGTTTGTTGACTAATCCGTGATGACGTGCAGAATCAGCAAAATGTTACTACTATTAACATTAACGCCGGAGACGTGAAAATCAAGAGTTTCTGGATTATGTAAGTTGACAATGTAACACTCCCTTAATCATCTCATCTCTTGGGTTTCGTTTCACTATGTTGCATGAAAGTTCTCTACTTATAAAGCGTAATTTATGATAAAATTTGTTTAATCGTCTTGTGAATATCAGATGAAGTATTATGAGCGAATAATTTGTAAGTTATATATATCGCCCTAGTTTTAGGGTTTATTGAGAAGCGACTAAACTTAAATCGCTCAAACTTCTATTTGGTTTTCACATTAATTTGAAAGATGATAAAATGGAAAGGAAAAAAAGATATGGAAAGTCGATAACATTCATGGATTGGTTAACATACTAGTTCTGAATTACATTCAATTTGATTATTATAAGTACGGACTGGCTACTGTCATTAATTTCTTGTCTTAATGAGCATTATTGTCAAAACTTAGCAACCAGATTTAATAAGCCATAATCATCACGGTGTCCCTTTCAAGCGGCTTCTATTATTTACGGTCTTCGTATTAATACCAACCTGATTCAGATTCATTGCTACCATTTCCAATTGCTATTAACAACGTAGTCAATTTGGCTATTTCTCTAATTGGTCAATCTCTTCTAAAATAACAATGTTCGATGTTTATGTCCGACCTCGATCAGACACCAAGAACGTGACGCCAGGATTAGACTAAGCAAAATTGTGTTTGATGGATTGATTCAGAACCACAAGCAATACCTGAATGAGACTAATCAATAAGTATTTTAATATAGCTGAAATTCAACTCTAATAATTTCTATATCACGATTAATCGTTATTTTCAAAGTTTGGCCCTTCACAAAGGTCGTCTCGGCCGGTGTCCCAAACAAGGTTGATGACCTTTCTGGCTCTGAATCACTACCCTTTTGTTACTAAATTAATCGAGGAGAACTTACAAAAATACAAATTTTTAACAAGTAAATTAATTTGAGATTTTGATTCCTGAACATTATACTTATTTTCATCCTGTCGGCTTCTATCAAATTATTAATTAATGACATCTTGAATGTACAATGAGTTGTTCATCGTACTTAAATTTAACTAGATAGTTAATTACAAGGGATGATCATTGATGTCTTTTCTTTTACAAGCATTTTTCATTTGTTTTAGTATTTTCCTTTGAGGAGATTGTCTACTGTCTTTGTAATTTTATTTATTTTTTTAGCATTATGCATGGATAATTTCTTTTATTTTTATATGTGTTCTCTTAAAACTTTGTTCTAAGCAGATTATCACAATGCTTTGCTTTTAAATGAGCAATTTTTTTTGTCGACATCTCATCAACTTGCATGCATCACGCTAATGATCGAGGCTTTGTCTTGTAGGACGAAAATGATTTCGAGCAAGAAAAAATTAATTTAGGTTGTTCTGATCAAGGCAGCAATTTTTTTTCTTTTTTTTAAAAAAAACGAGCACTATAGATAATGTTTTATCATATACTGTATTTTGTATATAGAAGGTGGAAAAAAATAAAGATAAAAGATAATAAAATACTATAAAAACTAGGTAGAAATTACCGACGGTTCATTAGTTTACCAGAGAGATTGCGACATCGATTATTAGTTATGAGGAAATAATCGATCATTTGTTAATTATAGGCTGATTTATTGAGTTTTTTACCCAAATAATTTTAAAATGGAAGGACCTGAACAAAAATATATGTCCCGTAGTGTTGTGGACAAATCTAGTTGTCTCGGATTTGTCAAATCCGAATCTATCCATTTTTTACTAGATTCGGATTTGGCAAATCCGAATCTCCTTGTATTACAACTGTGTGATGAATAAATTCTATTGGGTCCGAATCTAGTACAAATGGATAGATTCGGATTTGGCAAATCCAAGACAACTAATTTTGTCCACCAAAAATAAAAAAAAAAAATAATTTTTGTCCACATCTTTTTTTAGAAATTTTTTTAGCCGAAGCACCCCTAATTTATTTAACTTTCCTTTATAAGACTGGCACTCTTAGATAATAAGCTGTAGATGGATAAACTTTTCAAGGCCTGGGGACCTATACATTTGTCAGAAGTCAGAGGTTAATTGTTGGGTTTTTAAATAATCGGCGACTTTGGGGACGAATTATTGTGTTTTGCTTCGGTAGACTGATTTATACAAACCAAGTCAGTTTTCCTTAAAGCCTTACACTGATGTCGCGATGTTGCCATTTTTTCTTACTTCGAAAGTGATTGAGCTATTAATATTGATATAACAATAATCAACTGAATTTTATATGTCATAGCATCTATATTCCACTTTGACTTCTTTAGATTCATTCACACAATGCAACTGATCAAATTTGTAGCATCTAAAATATACCATGCATATTTTTATGTTAAATAAACTATTTGTGACCCCCAAAAAATAGTCTATATTGAGATTTTAGATTTGTACTATTTTTTTACTATAAATTTCAAAACTCAATGTGAATTTTTTCTTTTTTGGACTTAGGGAGAAGTACTCAATTCTTAAATAAGAGTAGTGTGTACAATTTAAAAATATTGTTTCTGTTCCAAAAAATAGTCTACGATGAGTTTTGAGATTTATATTAGAATTATTTTTTTTTTAGCCTAAAAGAGTATCACTTTTACTTTGATAACGGAAAGAATGTAAGTAACCACACGTGTATCAGGTTATAAGGTTTGTTAGAATCTAGGAAAATCTGGAAATTTATGAAGAAATCATTCCAATTATCATAATGTTTTTGAGTAGGGATTGGATTGAAAAATTAGTGTGTGACTAGCTATCAGATTTCGATAGTGAATTTTATTTTTATTCTACAAAATATGATAGTTTATTAATATTTTAGACTTTGGACTCATTGGTTGGAGAGCAAGACATGATTGATCTTTTGTAAAATAAATACGCAAACAAACGGAAATACGGGCTGCTCCGTTAAGGGTTGTTTGCCTCACCTATTGCGTATGTATATATTTATTCTGGTAGGAAATGAAAATGTCATATACCTGTGGCAGAGAACTAAATTCCAGATTCTTTTTTATATAAAAAGTCAATACATGAATCTTCCTTGTTGGACTTTTTTGCTATAGAAAAGTGAAGTTTGGACTATTTCAATATCTTTGACGTTGCCAGTTTGGCATGATAGTTATTATAAAGATAGTTAAAACGATGATTGTAGGGCTCATATACCCAAAAAGAAATAAATTTAGCAATAATAACTAATAACTGTAGGGCTAATTGTATGACGTCTTTTGCTAACCCCCAATCACGAATGCATTGTGATTTTGTAAAGGTTTCATGTCCTTAAAATGTTATATCATATGTACATTTCCAATGCTTATCTCTCTTTTTTTTTTCTTTTTTGTTTTTTGATACCAAACGAAAGAGAAAGACACTCATTTGGCCAAACAAGTAGTATTACCCTCCCTTATCACGCATACCATTAATGTTCGGACCCTATAAAAGCAGTTTAAGAGAGGGGAAAAATTAAAAAAAAAAAAAAGGAAGAAAAAAATTGTAATGAAAAAGAAGTTGCTCCTACCCTTTAAATTATTTACAGTAACATGCATTGAAGTACTACTGCTTAGTTCCCCATATTTAAGAAAGATTGAAAAGAAGAAAAACCGAAATCGCGAAATTTGATGGGTAATGTAGCAGCCAACTGGATTTACAAAACCGTTCGATACTTCTGACGTTAAGTTTACATGTGTAATATTTTCTCCTGTCTTAAAATAATTTTTCTTAATCTATTTAACTTTTATAGTATTTAAGCAGACAATAGTGTATAAAAATTTCAAAATACACATACCAATATTTAACCCACGAAAACGCATGGTGAGAAAGTCAACCATCAACTTCAACTCGTAATCACAACCGTTAATCTTGAATAACGTTGACTTCTGGATTCCGATCCTTCCAAGCAACGCAACAGTGGCGCGTGTTCGCAACAGCCTATAGGGTCCGTGATTCCATCTCCAAGATTCTCCAAACAAAAGTAAGGGGAGTAAAGAGAATGACGATCAGAGCACGTGGGATACCGGGGGGATTACAAATGCCCGGTAAACTCGGGGTAAATCGAGGGAATCTTCAAAGAGATTCTCCCTCCTTAGAGTCATCATCATCATCTACTTCCAAAGAATCCAAACCATTTTTCCAACTTGGCTTTTGTTCTTGTAAATCTCAAATACTACTTTAAACACTTGCGTAATCCATATAAAAAAAAAAAAAAAAACTCCATCATCATTATTATTATTCATTCATCAGAATTAATTAGCATTGGACAACTAATTTAGACGTCATAATTCATCCTCTTTTGTTTATTCGTCCCAAAACTCCAAATCCCGCACTATAAAACCAACTCTGGTTTGGCCTCTGTTTTCGCACCAAAAGAATCTCTATTACCTCTCTATTCCCCCTCTGTTCTCTGCTTCTCATCATTCAACCGTGTGTAATTTGGTCTTTTTTTTTTTGTGAAATTCTTTCTGAGATGGCAACTCTCTCTAAGCTTGTGGACCTTAATCTCAACGATGTCACCGAAAAAGTGATCGCTGAATATGTTTGGTAAGTCCTTCTCCCCTGCATTCTCCCCTGTTTTGGAACTCGTCTTCTGCCAATTCTCTTTTATAAATGATACCTTCTATTCAAAGGGTTCTTGTTAGCTTCCCGTCATCTTTTGTTCTAGTGGGCGATTGTTTATACTTCAAAGTTTTAATGGTTGATTTTCTTGTACTCCATTAAAGATTTCTTGGGTTACTTCTTTCAATGAAATCTCAAAGGACTCCCATGTATCTGCTACTGAAGACTTTTTTTTTTTTTTAAGTTGTTCTAAAGTATTGTCTTTTTTCTTTGGATTGTTTTAGGATCGGAGGTTCAGGAATGGATCTCAGAAGCAAAGCCAGGGTAATTATCTTTGAAACTTCTAATATGAATCTCATGCTTACATGGTTAATTATGATTCTAATTTACTGATTCTAAAAAAAAAAAAATTGTGGCAGACTCTTTCTGGCCCTGTTGATGATCCTAAAAAGCTTCCAAAATGGAACTACGATGGATCTAGCACCGGACAAGCTCCTGGTGAAGACAGTGAAGTGATCTTGTAGTAAGTATTTTTGCTCAATCTTCTTTTTTCACCTCAAAAAAGTTAGTAGTTTTGTGTTTTATGTCAAAACCAAAAGTGCCTAAATTATCTTGTCATGACTCTGGCTCTGCTCAATGAAACAGCCCTCAAGCAATTTTCAAGGATCCATTCAGGGGAGGAAACAACATCCTTGTGATGTGTGACTGCTACACCCCGGCCGGCGAGCCAATCCCAACCAACAAGAGGTACAACGCCGCCAAGATTTTCAGCCACCCTGCTGTTGTTGCTGAGGAGACCTGGTAAATCAAATTGACAACCTTCTGTTCACTTTCCACTACTTTTATCTTCTTGGCTGTTCATGTTTAGTTCTTGAACTCACACCTAATTTGAATGTATTTTTTGTTGGCAATCTACAAAATTAGGTATGGCATTGAGCAAGAATACACCCTGTTGCAGAAGGAAGTCAAGTGGCCCTTAGGTTGGCCTGTGGGAGGTTTCCCTGGACCACAGGTAACTTATTAGTTTCCTCATCAACTTAAATGTCACTCTCTTGAATCCGAAATTAAGATCATCCATGATCTTCATTAGCAAGACTTTGGTCATATTTAATTTTCTTGTTAATCCTGTTAGGGTCCTTACTACTGTGGAATTGGAGCTGACAAGGCATTTGGACGTGATATTGTTGATGCTCACTATAAGGCATGTTTGTATGCCGGAATTAACATAAGCGGTATCAACGGAGAAGTTATGCCCGGACAGGTAAAACCAGCTTGCTTCTTAATGGTCCTCTCAGTTAGTTTCCTTTAGCCTTTTCCGAGGAATTAATTTGTGTTGTAATAACTGGACAGTGGGAGTTTCAAGTTGGCCCTTCCATCGGCATCGGAGCAGCCGATCAGATTTGGATAGCTCGTTACATTCTCGAGGTACTTGTGGAAGCTTTTTCTTATACTGTATGCAACAGTAATTTGCAATATTAAGAGCTGATTCTGACTTTGTTTTTGGTGTTTAACAGAGGATCACTGAGATTGCTGGAGTTGTTGTTTCATTTGACCCCAAGCCTATTCCGGTAAGAAATTCAAACTCTGGTGATACAGTTTTAATAAATGGGTTCCAATTCTAACAGGTACTTGAATTTTTCCTTTGCTAGGGTGATTGGAATGGTGCTGGTGCTCACACTAACTACAGGTAAAAAAAAAATTGGAAATATATTCTTAATGATCTATGCTTCTTTTTCTTGCCTTCACTTTCGACACTGCTTCCATTATCTATCTGTGGACTAAAACATCTCCACTGTTTTTTCCAGCACTAAATCCATGAGAGCGGAAGGAGGTTATGAGGTTATCAAGAAGGCAATTGAGAAGCTTGGACTTAGGCACAAGGAACACATTGCTGCCTACGGCGAAGGCAATGAGCGCCGTCTCACTGGCCGTCATGAAACAGCAGACATTAACACCTTCTCATGGGTAAATCTATAGTTTCTCACCTCAAATCTACCTGCCTTAAAAACAAATGCATTACAAATTCTCTTTATTTTATCAAGACATGACCTAATCAGATAAATGACAGTTTGATCGCGCAATGCATAAGCCTTTTGGCTTAATTCATAAACTTAGATCATTTTCGATCCAGCATCATGGGTAGGATTCCCATACTAATTCCTCGTACCATATGATTTTTTCCAGGGAGTTGCAAACCGCGGAGCATCAGTTCGAGTTGGTCGCGACACTGAGAAAGAAGGCAAGGGCTACTTTGAAGACAGGAGGCCTGCTTCAAACATGGACCCTTACACTGTCACTTCAATGATTGCAGAGACAACCATCATCTGGAAACCTTGAGCAAACAACAGATGAAATTTCAGATAAGAAAGAGCTCCTTGGAAGCCTTTGACAGAGGAGAGCTAAATACATATACTACATTTTAAGTTGAACCAATTTACATTTTGGAGTGTCTATTGTACAAGTCTATAGGGATTTGTCATTGCTTTTTCCTTTCTGCTTTGCTGATTTGCTTTCTTGGTGTAAACCCCCGCAATGACAGAGTTCACTGTTACATTCACCTGTTGTCTTTTTGCATTTTAGTCCACTCTTGAAATAGGTTTCGTTTCAAGAATAACATTGTAAAAGGGATAGTTAAACATCCTTACTTTTGGGACGGTTAAATATCCTTGATTTTTCATCAATGATTTGTCGTTCTCTCTTTTGCTTGTTTCATCCCATTGTTGGTTGTTCGTGGCAATTTTCTTTCATATATCAGCTATTGTCATGTCAATGAATTATGAACTGCTTGTAAATGTCCCGAATTGTTCAATGAGCATTCTCTATTTTTAGGACGAAAGAATTACACGTAATATAACCGAAACCATTTGATCACATTTAAGTTGGTGGTAATTAACTAATTTAAAAGGACATTCGACATAAAACTCAACAAAGCCAACACCCTAATTGCAAATTTACAATCAAGGTGAGTTTTAAGAAACACATGATCTTGTTGGAGAAATCTGCCCCCAAATAACACAAAATAATAAAGTGGCGCCATTTCATTTTGATCATCTGTTAACTCTTCTTTATTCATGTAAAAGTAGCTCATGAGGGAATTGAATAAAAATCTAGTGGTTAGGATGTTGTGTTTCATGATACTAGTTCTTAGTTTAATTCCCACAAAAGATTTGTAAAGGGTCCTACATTTAAGTGGGGTTCACTGGGTAGATTTTTTTTTTAATAAATAAAGTAGCTCATGATTTGGTACCATTTCTTTTGTAATAGTACCTCTAATTTGACATTTGTTTTAATTTTAATATTATTATTATATATAATATTAATATATGCTGCCGAAATAAACCAGTGAACCCTAATACTGTAGAGATTTGAGAAAATATTCAAACAATGTGACACTAACATTCTAACACTCAATGTTAGAAGAAATTTTCATTTTATTATTGAAAACCTCAAATATGAAAATGCACCGACTTTGTGAACCTCCCAACTAGAAAATCGTGCGCTAACCTCTTCCAGGTAACACGTTTTTATTTCATTGCTGCGCAAAGTGCTTTGACGTTGAACTGTATTGAATTAAGAAGCTTCAACCTCACAAAGCCATAAACCCCTCTTCTCTAACTAAAGGGGTTTAAGATTTTGAATAATCGATCAAACAATACAAACCCAGAAGCCAAGATGATGCCTTTCCGCCGAGCTGCAGCAAAATTGCTTAGGAAGATCCACGATTGTCCCCGTGTTGGCTCGGTGTTTTTATTTTCTGAAAATCCCACTACTTCTTCTTCTTCCATTGTTGCAGGTAATCTATGTTTACTTACATTGCCCACATAATTTTAAGATTTCGCTTGAATTTTGAATTTAGCTTTGAACTTTCTTTTTGTTTGCAATTTGGATTGCGTCAAACGCAATGCAGTGGTGATTGTTTCTGACTTTTAATTTTATGGGCGTCGTACATGATGTGAAGGAAATATCCTGGAATGGCGATTTTGGTGTCATTTGTATTCAAATGATTCAATTACCAAGTGGTCCTGTTTTTTGATTTAGCAGGAGGAAGAAGGAACTGTTCTTTTGAAGATGGTTTTGGGAATTGTGGCAGGAGGGGGGAGAATATGGATACATTCCGGTGGATTCTCATTTGTGGACCAGCCGGTGAGTTCCTTTTCTTTTATGTTCGTTTTGGTTGATGATGATCTTCATTCCAGTTCCTGGTTGTGGCTGATATATAAACCTTTCGATGAGTACTTGTTTGAATTTATGCTACTTCGGAGTTAGAAGCTTTGTCCTGGTTCTACTCACTAGTTCACTGTGGTTTTACTAAATTCATGACTTGCTGCGTTTGAAATATGTCTTTGCTTCTATCCATATAGTTACTGTGTCTTGGTTTATAGAGTTGAGGGTTGATTTGGATGATACGTCTGGTTGTTAATGAGACTTTTGACACGTTCTCCAGGAAAAGATGGACACTTATGAATTTGTTTGATTTGTTGTTTTCTCTACCAGCCATAGCAGCAGTTCTTGGGATGAATATAAGTCCTGCCTTTGCAGATGATTCGTCCGTTGATGTAAGTCCAGAAAATACAAGTGGCTCAGAGATACCTGTTCTACGGAAAATCGAAGATGGTTCTGTAGTATCAAATATACATACTTCCAAATGGAGAGTCTTTACCGATACTGGAAGGGATTTCTTTTCAAAGGTAAAGGTTCTGAATTTTCCTGGGGGTGCATTTTTTCTCATTGTTTCTTTTTCATGATTTTTAAGTTTTTCAAATTATCTTCCTATATGAAGCAAAAACTGGTTGAAGCTGAGAAGTTCTTTGTAGCTGCATTACAAGAAGCTAAGGAGGGTTTTGGTGAAAGAGATCCCCATGTTGCATCTGCATGCAACAACTTGGTAAGTTGTACGCAGAGGTTGATCAACACTTATCTTGGACTCCCTCATTAGTTTTCCACTTAAGCTTTCGCCTCCTAGATTTCATCTTACTGGAGGGTGACATCAGGGTGGAAAATGTTCATTTTAATCTGCTTCAATAACTTCGGAATTGAGATTGAGATTGCTGCATTATGTGCAATTTCATATCCTATAAACTGCAATTCAATTACCAGACTGGTTTTCTCCAAAGCATTCTTGTTTATCCTGAAGAGTGTTAGATATTTCAAATTGGGATTTTTTCTGTTGTGTACAAAATGAAAGTAGTATCAAGTGTTTGAAACTCGTTTTTTGTCACAGGCTGAGTTGTATCGAGTTATAAAGGACTTTGACAAAGCTGAACCCTTGTACTTGGAAGCAATCAATATACTTGAGGAATCTTTTGGTTCTGATGACATAAGGTAGCTAATTTTGTTTATCGCATTCATTAGCCCTGGTTTGGCTAGTTTTGCTTGCTGTATTTGATTATTTTATTTTCAAGATGTGTCACGTGATTTCATTTAGACTTTCTATTTATAGTTATTTTCTTTGCTCTGTTGGTTTCTAGTTATCAATGTATAGGGCACTGATGGTTTTACATGACATATTGATAATATTGTCAGGAACAATGCTGAGCTGTCTAACGGCCTATTCATTAGATTGCCAAAGTTCGGCAAAAGTTCATTTCAACTTTCATTTTGATTTTTTCATTACCCTTCTCATTTAGATGTCATTATTTTTTATTGTAAAGGCAAAGGCATATAAGAAATTATTAAATAGATCAATCTATGATTTCTTGGCTTCATAGGCCTGAAGCTACTTACCTGACAACTTTGTATCCTGGTCTTGTATGCACTTTATGCAGAGTTGGGGCTGCCCTACACAACTTAGGTCAGTTCTACCGTGTTTGTGGAAGACTTGATCAAGCTCGCGTTTGCTATGAGGTAAATGGATGACCTGAACAATGAATGACTTTAAAGTTTAGGATTGCAACTAATTTCCTCCAGGATAATTCATTTTTGCCTAATTTTGTTCTTTCCGTTTCATTGAGTGAATTGTTTCTGTATTGTTAGTTAATCTGGTGTCATTTTTGTGCATAGAAAGCATAGGTCTTACATAAGTGTAATTGTGGTAGTGTGTTCGATGCTGAAACCACAACTAGGCTGGTGAATACTGTTACGTGTGTAATTTCTTGATGTGAACTTTACCGTATCCAGCAACTATAGTTTTGGAGCATAAAGGGGCAAGAGAGGGAGGGAGGGAGGGAGGGAGGGACCAGCGTTGCAGTGTTTGGAGAATAGTGCTGTCTCTCCTTTCATCTGAATTGTTCTTTTAACCTTGTTATATGCTGTCCCTTCTATTTTCTCTTTTATTTGAGCTATATACTTTATTACGTTACACAACAATACCCTGTACACATTCTTAAATTCTAAGTACTAATCCTCTTCTGTTTTCTTCTATTGCGTATTCTGTCGGGCAGCGTGCTGTGAAGGTATGATATATAGTTTTTTAAAATAGATTTGTTTGTCTACACTTTTCTGGTTAAAATTTCACTTGGCTGATCTCTGTCATTTTTTTCCTTTCAGATAAAGAGGCGTGTTTTGGGGCAGGCCAACCCAGACTATGCTGACACATTGTATCATCTTGGAACTGTAAAGCCTATTCCTCGTTTTTTTTTTATTTGTCCTAAATACATGATTATATCCTAGTCTTTTCCATTGTGTAGTTTTGCATGGTTTAGTTAGAAGTGGATTTTCTTGCAATGGTTTGTTATACTGGATAGTTTAGCTTTCTTATGGAGGTGAACACGAAAATGAGGGGCTGATCATAGAAAGCTTAGGCTACTTAGAATGTGTCAGTTGCACATATTGCTTACATTGACGTTAAATTTATACTGGGGAAAACTGCAAAATTTAGAATTTAGAGGCCACTGAGGGCATCAAACATCATAAGGACATTAAAATTACATGACTAAAACTTCATTGTTAATAATTGTTCTTTAAACCATAGCTAATCTCAAAGTTATTTAGTTTGGTGTTTTCCCATCTCTCATCTATTATTTTACTGGCTTAAGTATGACCTGATTTTCAGGTGCTCTATCTTGAAGGAAAAGAGAAGGATGCTGAGGTTTTGATATGGGAATCCATTCAGAGTCTTGAGGTTAGTACATTTTTTCTGGTAGAAATGACTGGTTGTTTTACACTAGTAATCTATGTTTCTCACTGTTTTCTGGTTGAATTCAGGAAGGCGGGCTTGGGGAATCAAATTTATGTCTCAGGAGACTGCAATTTCTAGCGCAGGTTGTAACTTATGCAATATTCTTTGAGAAGTTGATCTAATTTTGTTGGTTTAGGGTCGATGATGGCCTCCTTGGTGTTTCATAATCAGATATTTATCAATGATTTCTTCCCTGTAGATTTTCATGAAGTCCAACAAACTTGTAGAAGCCGAGAAAATACAGAGGAAGATCCTGCACGTGATGGAATTATCAAAGGTTCTCCCATTACCTCTTCCTACTTTTTCAGCATAGAAAACTCTTGCTACAAATCTGACCAATTTCCAGATTCTATGTTTAATATGAAACGGTAAACATTACCCATTTGGGTCCTTGGAAACTTGGCATTTGTACCATTTCCTTGCATTTGCTTTAGCTTCATGAATTACCTCCTGCATGGGAATAACTTGACTAGGAATAGAAATTCATATATGGAATGCTCATAAAACTTTGAGACCAGTGGTACCAAAACATGTTTGCTTTTCTATATGGAATGCTCTGATATGGATTTAATTAGCTTAATGACTTACTTACTGCTATGCGTGGAAATAACTTGACTTGTAGTAATTCAGATATGGATGCTCACATACTTTACAGTGCCGTGGGACTAAAATATGTTGCTCTTTCTATGGATTGGTTAGTTGATTTTTTAAGCTCACTGATACTTAAGTTTGTTTTACTTTATTCAAGGACTGTGTTCTCGCTCTGTACTAATGTTATGCGGTGCCCTTTGGAGTTGAAATTTTGTGATTAAATCTCCCCATTTTGGCAGTACTACAATTCCTATCTCTTCAAATTATTACAAGCTCGAGTCTTATGTGATTATATATCTTGTTTTTTAGGGTTGGAATTCCTTACATACTGTACTTTTGGCTGAGCGCCTTGCGTTGAACCTCACATCAATTGGGAATTTAGAGGAAGCAGACGAACTATTAGAAAGGTCAAATCAGGTTTAGCTTGCACTGTATTTGTTGGTCAACTCATTCCGTTGACCAAAATGTGTAACCTTACCAGTTTAGATTGCAGATGTCTTGATGCCAGGAAAATCTTACTCCCTGAAGACGATATTGAGGTTTGTGCTAACAGATACATGAATCATTTGTCTTTGGAGTTAATTTTGATCAGTTACATTCCTATAAGATGCCTTTCATGATCTTTGGAATAAATGTGGTTGGATTAGATTGAATTCAGCTGAAGCCTGGTCTATCCGTATCCTGTAGAAACAAAAACAATTGAGTGTTGTCATTGAGAATTTCGAATTAAGGACACAAAACTGCAACTAATACAATTAGCTTTCTGATACACAGGTTGCTGCCAACATGCTTTACATTGCCAGGGTGAAAAAGTTGAAGGCCAATCAGCTAAGAAAGAAAAATGTTTCTCAAGCTGTGGAAGAATATAAGAAAGCAAAGCTTCTTCTGAGTAATTCAATAAGGTGTCCTCTCCGATTCATGAGTTCAAATTCCACTTGTCTCATGGTTCATTCATTATGCATGTTTGAGTGAAAATGTGATCTCTTTGTTGATGTTTTCACCAATAGGGTAGCCAGAAAAGTTCTTGACCAGGTTGGAAAGCAGAGACAAAAGCAGAAACCTAATGGACTTCTGAGAAACATGCATAGAAAGGAACATTCGGCACTGCTAATACTGGTTGGTGTTTATATGATTTCCTTTTTACGTTTTGTGCCCGACTTATCAGTGTTCACCATTACTAGAGGCTTTGCTTGTGCCACCTCTCTCTTTATCTTTATCCCATTGCTAAACAGTAGTGATGCTTTAGTTTGGCTGCTCATCACTAGTCACTACAGTATTAGTGTTGTTCTTTATTGTTTCTTTTGGTAATGTCAGTGTTCTTATATAATTTTACTCGTTTCCCAATGCTTGATGAAATTTTTTGAGCAGTGTAGAAACATTTTCTGATTGTATCTATCGTGAATCCTATTTTTGTGTAATATGAATCATTTTCCAGAATCCATCAAGATTTACTGATTAAAAGGTGCTATATTCATTCTCTTTTTATTCCTTTCTGTCCAGTAAATTTCTGATTTTCTGTGGATTGTTTAGCGTACTTGTTCCTTATTCTGATTTTTGAGGTTTAGGAGGACTTTATCTGTGATAACTTTGATAGTCTAAAGGTGTATCTTGTTTATAATTGGGTGCTTATAATATCTTTGCTACAGTAGAGGGAGGGTTGATAGCGCAGGGTTAGCTTTTGTTGATATGTGAACTGTTTATTCCATCTCCTCTTACAAATCTTAGTGATATTTAGCACCAATACATAGCATATCATACAAGCCTGAAAATGTCGTAAAATGGATGAATTTATATTAAACATATTCTCAGATTATTGTGTCTATTAGAATAATGAGGCGAAATTGTTCTTTGCTTTGCAGCTACAATCACTTGGTGCACTTGCGGTATTGGAGGAGATCATGATTGAACTGCAAAATTCCAGTGTCAGTATCTGCTACCCACTGGAATTTTAATTGAATCTCTTAAAATCAGTAAAAACTTTTTAATGAAAGATGGTATTTGTGATACTTGATTATGCAGTAATAGAATAAGATACTTCTATCTCGTTATATAGCTGTTTTTGTTTTCTGAGACTAATAAAACGGAGTTTCAAAAGCTTGCTGCTATAATTTCTCTTCACACCTTGTATATTACTGCATGGGTAATTTTTCCTTGGGGCTTTGCCAGATGCATGATGTTAAATTTTCTTGGCCCTGAGCAGAATAGAAATGATCATGCGCAAGTATTCACTCAGCATCGCTGTACTTTTCGTATGACAGGGAAACAATAATTCTCTCCCCGAGGTTGAGAAGAATCTTTGTGAATGCATTTCTGCTTTTAAGGAGGTATGAGCACACTTACTGGAAGTTAATTGGGCACAGACTAATGATTACTCTCATAGTATGATTACCCATCCAGATATGGTCATCCCATTACCTGGGACAAAGTGGATTAAGGCGTGTGTTTTGTTTTGCAGTTCGGAGCTAAGACAGTTCTGTCTAATTCTGCTGAAGTCAAAACTGAATATCTCTCATGTTTGAAGCATCTGTACACTTTGCTAATCGATGATCCACTGAGGGAAAAAGATGCTTTGGGAGAGTTGAAAGATGAAATCAACCAGGTAGAAGCTGAAATTTTCGCCAAAAGGAAGGCACAATAGAGCTTGAATTTGGAGGTAATGTAAGTTCCACTCCCAGTATCTGTTATGCTACCTATACAAGACTTTTAGTTGCCATAGACTTCAGTTGAGAACTATGCCAACCTTTTCATCCCAATACATTTATATGCAAGTGACAATTGTAAATATGGGAGTTAAAACTGTTCTAAACAAGACTATTCCTTGAAGAATATAGAAGTTCCATACTCAAATAAGTTCCTTTGTCCAAGATATTTTTGGTGGTGAAATCGAATGATTTCTTCCTGGACTCCAGAAATTTTATGTCATACTAATTTCACGTTTTCCTCGCTTAATATTGTCAAAGAAAAATGAATAAATAAAATCTTTGTGGTGTCCTTTCAGTGGATCCTTACATGTCTACACTTACTCCCTCCGTCCCATAATTATTGTCCAGTTTGGATTTTTATTTTTAGTTCATATAGTACTAAAAGTGAAATCTCAAAGTGGACAATAATTTTGGGACAGAGGGAGTATACAGTGTTGCTAAATTGAAAATGCAGTGGCTGCCTGAATTTGTTTAAAATAAGATTATGAGGGGAAAGACAATATATACGGTGTTCTCCGTCTTGGAAACCCTAATGGCATCTGTTGATACTACTTCACAGTTCACACCAATCCCGACAGAACAGGACGGGACTCAAGACAAGCTGCCATAGAATTTCATCAAAAATCTTTTTAACATTTTCTGGAAATTTCGGTATTAAGACTTGCTTAGGTTGTCGTTTACCTAAGAGCAAGGTAGTGAAACTCAAAATTGCATATCTTGTAATGGAATCTCAAATTGAAACACATGGTACCGTTATCAAAATGCCAAGTTTCAAATACCCCACCTATCATTATTGTATAATTCAAATTTAGTTGTTGGCTCAACAGAGATATAATAATATGATAAATTCTTGTTATTATAATGTAAAATTATTCTAAACAGCCTAACACCAACAAAATCATCTCTAGTCAATTCCTAGTTCACAATTTTGTTTGAGAAAAAAAAAAAAGAAACAGATTTTCTCTTGGAAATAAAACTAATTTGGGAAATGAAAATTCGCCTTAAGACAAATGAGATAACCAACGATAATATTCTAAACATTTGGATTGTTCTTACCAAATCTTTGGCAATTTGATGGACCCATATTGCCCCATCAAGTTGAAATGATTATTCTAAATTGACATCACAATTAATGAAAAAGCTCGATCTTAGTTGTACTACTATATTTAATTGATGGCCCTATTCTTCTTCTTCTTCAAATAAAATAAAATAAAATAAAAAGGAAGTTATGACCCAAATAATTATAATTATAAAATCCTCACATCCAAATTAAAAACGCTTCTTTCTCTTTAGAAAGAGACAGATTTGCCATGTTTGAATCACACAACCGAACAACTTTTTTTTGTGTATAGCGTGGAGCGTTGTATTTCATACTATTCCAATCTCTAAAATACCACCACCAATTCCCCACTCCAGAAAAATTCAACAAAATTTCCACTCCTCCAAAATAGTCATCAGAATTCATGGAAAGAAGAAGAAAGCCTAGTCATAGTAGCAGCGCCAAAGGAAGCACCGCCACAGAAGATGATTTAGCCATGGTGAAAGCAGCAGCATGGGCATGGTATGAACGTGGATCCGGGTCGGAAACCCGTACCATTCGAGAGTCCGATCATCTTTCCGCCATTCCTAGAAGCAGAAGAAGAGATCCAAAACCAACAAGGTACAAACTTGAAGCCATGAGAAACTCTTCCTCCGCCCAAGAAAAGAAACAAGTACTACTAACACCACCTCCGCTTAGTCCGGTTAGTAGTAACAATGATAGCGAGATATCGGTTTCGAATTCGCTTCTTGATGATTACGAGATTGAAAGGATATCAAAGCAACTTGATCTTTACATTGAATCAAGCCGAGCTGAATATTTAATTAGTAGTAATGTTCTTCGTAGTAGTAAGAACAAAGTCGCTTCCTTATCAGAAAGCGGCACCAGCGACAAAAGAAGTAAGCCGCAGCCGAAGAAGAAGAAGAAGAAGAAAGATTCATCAGCAGGGTTTTGGCCGTTCAAATATACAGCTGTATGTGGCTCTAGGAGTGAAGATGTTGTTCGGAGTTTTAAGGTTATTACATCATCGCGGCGGCAGTTACGGCCGGAAAAGGATATTGTGACGGTGGCTAGAAGTGCTTCTTCTTATGTCAAGTCATGAAAGTGATTGAGGTAGTAGATGGATGGGGGGGGGGAGGTCAGATATGCTTATTAGTTGGTTGTTGGATTCGTATTAAAAGCCTGTGAGAAGGACAAAGCGCCATAACTAATAGTACAGTGATGTCAATTTCCTTGTATGAATTTGTACACTATTTTTGTCGCTGTAAATTTGCTTTTTTTTTTTTTTTTAGGATGTTAGTACTATTTTCGTTCCAACATAGTAATTGTCTTATTTATTGTTATTATTTTGAACATATGGCGCTCGAAACCCTGTCGAGATAGAAATGTACACGTGTTTGTTGCCAAATTCTAGCTTTCAACTTCTTCTTATTTCTCTCACGCATTACATTGCGAATTCTACTCTTAACTTTCTTTAAAACTTGTTATTCTGTTCGTTTCTCTAAGAGGGATTTGTGTTTTCTTTGTTGTCAATGAATGTTAGATTGAGGAAATAGTGAACTCTAATACTCATGAATCTCCTAAACAACTACCGACAATCGCACATCAAAGCGACTGATTCACTTGAGACTTGTCATATGGTGGAATTTGGAAAATTATTAAACTATGTTATCTTAGGGCATACAATATGTATTAGACTATTTATGGTAGTATGGATACATTGAACTATATATAGAAGGCGTGTGCTTCTTAGTCTATGTAGGTAAATCATGATCAAAATATTGCATTAGAGGCTTCAAAATTGCCGCAAAAATATCTTGTATTTGAAGCCTTGAAGCCATGTTTTCGACTGTTGATTACTCAATAATTATTGTTTCTATCCTCCTTCATTGTACCCAAAAAAAAAAAAATATTTTCTATCCTATAACAAACTAGGCATATAAATATATAACCACAAAAGGGAGAAAAAAAAAAACAGAATATTATTATGAGAATTAGTGAACATACTTGTCAACGAAATGTATCCATGTATAGAAGCTAGTCAAGCTACTTAACAAGTCTTGAAGCAACAAACTTGTCTCGTTCCAATTTTATCGGATGTCCCCGAAGGGACAACAAACTTGTCAATGTTGTAGTATTAAAAAGATACTTATATATGTCGTACAGTTGTCCCAAAACATTTTCTGGCTACCATGTAGAAAAGATTAAAAGACTTTAAGTAATTCCTTAAATTCTTATCAAAACTCAAAAGCTCTGTCATCGCTACTATAGGCCATTATTAATTGTTGAACACAGTGATTATAATTTGATGAGTTAAATCAATGGTTTCGATATCTTGTATACTATTTACACAATATTTTAATTTGATGAATTAGACTTTGTTGTTTCATTTTTACCTTGATAAGAAGACACCGATCACAATTCCATCAAAATAATGATTAGTACCATGGCATGGACAGTTTGTGTTTCCCCCCTTTTTTTGGTCCTTTCCCTACCCCAACCAATTACTATACAATCTTATTTCACTGTTCTTATATAAATGACATGAATGATACCTAAAAAAATATTCACCTTACGTTTTCAAATTTGTAACTTTTAGTATAAATTTAAAATTTTAAAATGAATTATTTTTTTTCGAATAAAGTATTAATTGAAGATATGACATAAAGCCTAAAGGGCAACACAAGAACTTTCAACTCTGTAAAGAGAAACCTATTTTGATTTCATTAGCAGTGTTATAATAATGTACAGTATACCAAATAAAAATTCAGGTCATTGGAGGCAAGCTTTCGCGCCTTAGTGCTCATCGCAGGCTTGCAGCATCACGCCTTCAATTAAAATGAAAATCCCGGTCCGCTCCTCCGCAAAAGCGTAGAATTCGAACGCGGTGGCTTTTGCGCCTTTCATTCAGTATTATGTTTCCGTTTCTCCTCCAAACCTTGTGGATTTTGACTTTTGCCGCAAATGTTTAGTACTCTTCGCCATCTCAGCCCTACTCCTCCCCAGCTCCGCCACCTGTCAACGGCCGCCGCCGCCGCCGCCTGGTACAACCCGCCGAAAACCCTCCACCAGCCTCTTTCCGAATATTCATCGGACCCAATTCTGATAACTCTCTCAGAAGCCATAAAGAACTCCCACCATAAACCCCTCCAAACCTCACTCAAAACCCTCCTCCCATCCCTTAAATCCAAACACATCATCAACCTCATAAACCTAAATCCCCACGACGTTTCCCCGGAATCCCTTTACTCTTTCTTCACATGGCTGTCTTCTCATTCTTTATCCACCCCTTTTCGCCACACCATCCTTTCTTATTTCACCATGGTCCATTTCCTCTGCACCCACAAAATGCTCCAACATGTTCCCGGGCTCATCAATACTGTTGTTTCAAGGAGAGGGAAAGATTCAGCTGCAGAATTGTTTGGAGCTATTCTAAAGACCAAGGGTGCTCAAAGATCCAATCTTTCTGTGATATTCAATGATCTGATGCTAGCTTATTTGGAATTAGGCCTCCTTGATGATGCGATTCAATGCTGTAAGTTGATTAGAGAGCATAAATTTCCTGTCCCTTTTGAAGCTTGTCTCAAAATTCTTAATCATTTTATGAAATTAAAGTCACCGGCGATGATATGGGATTTTTATAAGGAGATATTGCGTGGCGGGTTTCCTCCAGACTTGTATTGTTTTAATATTTTGATGAATAAATTCGGTAAACTAGGTCAGATAAAGGAAGCTCAGTTGGTGTTTGATGAAATTGGCAAAAGAGGCTTAAGACCTAGCGTTGTTAGTTTCAACACTTTGATAAATGGATATTGTAGAGTGGGTAATTTGAATGAAGGATTTAGGTTGAAGAAAGAAATGGAGGAGCGTGATATCTTGCCTGACGTTTATACATACAGTGTTTTGATTAATGAGTTGTGTAGGAAGGGTAAGTTAGACGATGCCGATGAGTTATTCAATGAGATGTGTGGGAAAGGATTAGTTCCCAATCATGTTACTTATACTACATTGATCAATGGGCATTGCAAGAATGGAACATTCAGTTCGGCCATGGAGATTTATCAGCAAATGTTGAAGCAAGGAGTACAACCAGATGTAATCACTTATAACACTTTGGCCGATGGGCTATGCAAGATTGGAGATTTAAGCAAGGCAAGGAGCCTTGTGGATGAAATGACCGAGAAAGGTTTGAAGCCTGACAAGATTACGTATACAACTCTAATTGATGGATTATGTAAGGAGGGAAATCTGGAAGAAGCAATGGAAATAAGAAAAGGCATGATCAAGGAAGCGATTCAGCTCGATGATGTTGCATATACAGCTCTGATATCAGGTCTTTGTAGGGAGCAGAAATTTGTGGAAGCGGACAAATTATTGAGGGAAATGGTGAATGTCGGCTTGAAACCTGATGATGGTGCTTACACTATGGTCATGGATGGTTTTTGCAGGAAAGGAGATGTTAAAAAGGGCTTTAAACTGATGAAGGAACTGCAAAGAGATGGACATATACCTGGTATTATAACTTACAATGTTCTAATGAACGGATTATGCAAGTTAGGACAAATGAAGAATGCTGAAATGCTACTACATGCTATGCTTAATGTAGGAGTTATTCCGGATGACATTACTTTCAATATTCTGTTGGAAGGTCATTGTAAGAATGGGAACCCTGAGAATACAGAGAAACTGCGGAGGGAGAAAGGGCTTATTTTGGATTACGGTTCTTACTCCTCTTTGATTAGTAGTTTAAGTAAAACCTCAACACGATCCAGAAATAGATGATGAACAAGTTCAAAGGAGAACTGAAATGTAGATGTCAGAAATACTTACACTGTTCAATTGTATTTTTTTGGAAAATCGTCTGATGAAAATGTACATTTTCTGCTCAGTTGGTCCTTTTAAGTTTTTCCCTTTGCAGGTGCGGTCTAGAGTGATGATACACACAGCAATGAATACAGTAAGGAGAGTAATGGGCTAGAATTATTTGTGAGGCCTATCTTCATTCTTCACAGGCTTAAGATAATTTTGAAACCCGCTCTGAGATAATGAGCTTCTTGAACTAAAATCCATATTCTTCATTGAACTGGAACTACATTCGCCCAAACGGGCTTAAGATAATTTTGAAGCCGTTGTATTTCTCTTTTAAAGTCTGGGTTTCTAGATTCTACGTTCACCCATTTAAGGTCCAAATTTACACTTTGATAAAGTTTTGATTCTTTTGGGGAAAGTGTTTGAGTACTGTGTATGAATGAAATGTTGTGAGAGGACATGAGTAAATCACAAATTGTAATTTTTTTTTGTATAATATGAGATGCAAAGCCTTATACAAAACAAATTTGGACTCACAAATTGTATTCACTTAAAATTAATATTTTTTCCCTCCTCGATTACTATATGATTTTAGCACAAGAAACATGACAATCATTTAAGAATTGTAAATGGATAATATAAAAATGGGATAATAATACATATCTTTGTCATATAATCTTAAAATTCAATCTCTCTATCATGATTCATCTTCGTGTCTAAGTTAGTGTAATTTGTTCCTCTCTATTTTCTACGAATAATCATGTTAGGAAATTCAAAAGATCAAACAACGTCCAATAGATCTGATTTCCTTCGTCTTCCAGCAAAGACTGACGACGGTTTCACTGATTTGTAAGTTGTCATGTACTTTTTTTGTCCCAAAATTTTAATATTTCTTTTATTTTCAAAATAATTTTTTCATTTATTATACTGTAATAATTTTCATTGAAAAAGTTGCTAATTGATTTGGGATATAGACACATAGTGAATACAAACAAACATGATTTTTATGTTTGGACAAAATGACTATATATTTTACGTTGCTTAGCGAGCTTTACAACTTTTAAGACCTGAGGATTGTGTTTGCATACAAACTAATTCAATATGCAAAGTTTTTCCGGATGTTTCCGGAGCTTTGTTACTCATTCTCATTCGCTGCAAGACAGATGATCAGTCGTGTTTGGTTAAGAAGACATAATAGTAACAAAAGGAAAAGCTTCACAATGAGAAAAAATGCATGATGCGAATGGTCACAATTTCTTCCATTTTATTTTAATTTTTTACTTTAAAAAAGAATTAAAACATTGAATAAATTAATAAAAACAATAGAAAAGAAATACGTATGAACCTAAACTATCAGGCGTGACTTTGTGGTAAACCTTTACATTTTAAATCATATTGTAAGAAACAATATTAAATTAACATTTGAATAACACAACTAATTTAACTTTTATCGACCTAATTTTAAAAAAGGAAAAACCCCATTTTTTTAATTACAGTGAGTAATAAAGATCTAAGTCTAAAGAAGAAGAAGAAGAAAACTTGCGCAAGCATAAAATGCGAATGAAAAACATTAACCACACATCGATTCCATAGATGGAAAAATTCACTTTACACCCAATCTAACTAGTTGAACATAAAATTTCGACTAGTGCATCTAATGTACTAATATCCAGTGTTTGTCTTTTATGTATCATATTAAATTGAAAGCTCAATTTATATATTTTTTCAATTAAATAATTGACATGGCGGGAGAGAATTGTTCAACTCCATATACTATTAATACTACTGCCACACAGGACACTAAAGGAGAGTAAGGACAGGGCAGTGAGACATTGATATTGGGGTAGGTGGCCTTGGGTTACGGGGAACATTTTAATTTTATGTGACAGTTGCCACTCAAAAACCACACACCCGTGTGGATTCTGCGGAATGACCTTTGTTTGTCCTCTCTCAACAGCAACCCTCCAAAAACACACACACACACACACTCACACAACCACACCCACCATCTCTAAAAATTTACTACTACTATAAACGCGAAGCACAACACAAGAAGACTTTTATTTTTTAAAAAAAGAAAAATGCATGGAAACGGGTTGATTTTGATAGTCGAATTGCATGGAAACTGGCAAAAAAAAAGTACTTACTATTATTGCTTAGGGATCATCATTGAGTCATTTAATTTAAAGCATGCAAACGGGCAAAAAACTAATGGAAAACTGGAAGTAGTACTACTAAGTAGTAGTAACGTTGGGATCCAGCAGTATGTTACCAGGAATCCATTAAACAAAAAATAAAAGAGAAAAAGGCAGTCACTTTTTCCTATAATGGGGAGGCAAAGGTAATAAATTTTCAAGTATGAACATCAAGAGATGAGTTTGAAATTCTTGAAGATTTTGTTTCGGCTTTCAATTACTCATCGTACGAAGATTGGCCAGATGCTTTTTTTTAGACTCATCGGCTGATGTGATTTCTTTTTTTGTTTAATAGGAGTATTTATTTTTTGTGGGGTTTGTTCACAGAAATGAGTTTCTTCTTTTCAGATTGATTTTAATTAAAAGCTTTGAAAAATTCAAATACAACTCTGCTTTTATTAATCAAAGCATCGTCCTCTTCATCAAGCACAAGACGCAGCAAAGAGTTATTGAAGATGGGAAGAAGTAGTAGTAGTAATACAGCTAATATTCATCGATCTTTTAAGTTGAAATGGTCAAAAACTTTTTGTTGTTTCAAACCAAATCAAAGATTTAGTTGCAAGAAATTTCCCATGTCAAAGTAACAAATTAATTGCTGCACTTATGTAGTTATACTACATAAATCGTTCGAAGTCAGTGCCCCTCGGTTTCAATTATGTTTTCTATCTCCCCTACGTTTCAATTATAAGTTCTATAAAGAAACACCTTTAGCGTTGCAACACGTTTAATTGACAATATAATACTACCTTAGTCTCAAAAAAATAATATACATTAAATTTTTAAATTTATTATAAAAATAGTACAAAATTTAAAACTCAATGTGTACTTTTTTTTGAGTATCACCAGAGAATTTACGCAAAAGAAGAAGAACATGTAGTGTAGTGTGCCATGCGGTGGAGACGTGGAGTGCAGCATAGAGCAAGCGAACCCGAAATGAAATGCTAAAATCAAACAAAAGGGAAGACAACTTTATGTGCCTAAAATTTATAGGACCACAAAAAATATCTAATAAGAACTTGAATTTATTTGTTACACCTACTTAGCTTTTTCTAGTTAAAAAAAAAAACATCAAGGTACGTAGACATAATCACCGAAAGGACATGGACAATGGATAATTACAGAAGAGAAATAATTAAGCAAAGTGCGCCTAATTGCAAGAACTTAAAAATAGATGTGGTCTTCACATTGTAAACGCGGAGGAATTTTGTTTTGGCGTGAGTACAGTGTCTATGGAGGGGGACCAAATTTTTAATAAATAAATATCATCCAAAATCCAATATCATGCATGCATTGAGCTTTCTTTTCTTTCTTCGATCGACACACTTTTTCAAAAGACGTGTGCGGATTTCACATCTTGTCATGCCAAAAATTGCCAATATGCTCATCTTCAGTCATTTTTACTCTCAGAAAAAGTGATCAGAAACTCTTCTAAAAAGCATTCGATTAATACTCACATTTTTTTTTAGTTTGTAAGGTCATTACAACTTTGTAAATGTAACGGTGATATTAATTTTTAACGTGTAAAATTCATATTTATAGTTACAATTATCGTTACTCGTTTTGTTTTACACACACTATCTGTTTTGTGTGTGAGCCGCCGTGTTTGATAAGGTAATTCTGGGTGGGGGGGGGACTCGAGGGCTAGATCGAATTGAAGGGTTTGATAGTGAACTCGGCCGAATTTGGATTTTTAATTCTTTTGGAATCAGACAGCTGGAGTGTAGTCCCCAACTCCCAAGTCTCAAATGCATTTCGTTTTGTTTCCTTCCTTCCTTGTAGCTACTTCTTTCAACTTCAACACAAAAATGTGCAAAACTCTGGTCCTAATTGTATCATTTTGCACGACCCCCTCACTTATCTAGATTTAGTATAACCCTACACGAGGGGTTGGCACCAACTAGCAGCAGTACTATTTTTTTATCCTGCAAAAATAAATTATATATATATATATATATATCATAGATTTGATATGGGACTGACTTTCTGTGTCAATTTGCTTCAAGTGGGTATGCTATGACAAAGATACATTGGCTCAGTGATCGAATAGTCGTCAATCGGAACATGCCTTTCTGATGAAGGCGATATTCTATAAATCAATGAGTTTGGTATATGCGCTTTATCAAGTTTGGTACTCCCCGTCACATAATTATTGTCCAGTTTTACTAAAATAAAAGATTTTATTTTTTGTCAAACTTAACTATATTTTACCTTAAACAACCGGATATACCCCTACATAAGTAATTGTTTAACCACTAAGATTTTATGGATAATGTTTTTTACTAAGGACAAATGTGTAACTTGATCCATAAAAAGTCAAATTGGACAATAATTTTGGAAAAAAAATTTTTGGGCAAAGTAGACAATAATTATCGGACAGAAGGAGTATATAAGTATACAATCGTTCGAGGACTTGGGTTAGTTCATCAATTGTGAATAATTATTACCGTAAGCATAGAATCGATCAGAAGTACACTAATCTTTACCTTCACAGAGGATATTATTTAAGTCTAACTGAAATATCAGAACCCTTAAACCCTAAATCAAAATTAATCGAAAATACGAATACATTCTCAGTAGTAACAAAGAATATTATGTTTAACGCTTTGTTTGTTTCTTTTTCTTGATAGTATTTTTAAATTAAATTATTATTAACTGTCAAATCCTAACATACCTTTTTATATTTTTAATACATTTTTTTATATTTTCAATACAAAAAATGCTTAAAAACAAACAATAAAAAAACAAAACAATTTGAGTTTGAGATAACGGCCATGTTGTATCATTTCTGTGTAATTTTGTCTTAAAACAATTTATATATACTTATCCTTGAAACAGAGTCTAAAACCATTGAACATACTCCTCCAACATGATGGTTTTTAAATTTTTGTTCTCGAGAAGGAAAAAAGAAAGAAAGGAGAGAAGATTATGATGGGACAATAATTGATGTTAAACAGCTAATATAATATAATGTTACGGTCAAAAATCGAGGTGATTGCTATGGTGGTTCCTTTTCATGGCTGGCAAAAAAGCAGTAAAACAGCAGCAGCCACAACAGGATCTATATCATCTACTCTCCCTTACTTAAAAGTTACTAATAAAAAAAAAGGAGTGATTTTGACAGTGACTTCGCCACACTGACAACTCAATCTTTACTTGCCTTCTTTGGTCTTTGGAAATCGCTTTCCAGTTTAATTACCCCATGTTGCCCCTTTTCCTTTTTGTCCTTTTGTGGTTAGTTCCCTTGTCTTAATCCCTCTTCCAAGTAACTTCTTCCACTCGTTAATTAATTCCGGAATACATATTTCGTCAAAAAAAAAATAGTTTACATTGAGTTTTTAAATTTGTACTAAAAATAATACAAAATGTAAAATTCAATGTAGACTATTTTTATAAGACGGAAGTAGTATTACGGAATAGATAAAATTACCTCAGCGGGTCGCCTGGTCGGTCTCTTTTGACGAAAGAAAAGCATATTTGTGTGATGCAAGCAGTAAAAAGTAACAGTAGAAAGTTTTAGAGTAGTTAAAAAAAGTGAGTGGATGACGTTGAGAGATCTACCACTCCTTTTAACAATATTAAAATGATCAAGTATCCACAATCCACCACGTTCAGTTTGGCACGTGGAAAAGTTAAAATAATAGTTTTAGGAGATTTCGGTTTAGCTTAATTATTCATCAAATTGTACTAGTACTATATAGAAGAAGGGTCATATGTTGATTATGTCGGAAAGGTTACATAAACCTTCTCAAGTCTTTGATCAATGGCAGGCGGATGACTCCCAAGACTTTGTCTTCCACCTTGCATGCAACTTTCTCTTTCCTTACCCCCACTTTTTACTTTTATATATATATATATATATATATATATATTGAATTATTTCCTATTTCCCAATTATATTCAACAAGAAACGAGTTACTCTTGCCTTCCATTTGATATCACTTCGTGTGGATTCACCCATATCTTGAAAGATCAGGGTGTTACAAAAAAACTATAAATAATAGTGTGTTAGGTTAAAGAAACCAAAAAACTGTTAAATGTTACTACTGTTATTGGATAAAAAAAGGTACTTGTAAAATTTTGAACTCGATTTTTTTCTTCCCCTTAAGAAACCGGCTATGAGCTTATGACTTGTTTAAATTTAATCTTCATGTTAACATCATTCAGTGTGTTAGGTGAAACCAAAAAAAAAAAAAAGATTATGGTATTTTTATTTTCTACCTAAAACACTATTTTACAACTTTTTTGGGGGGAAAAAAAAATTCAATTGTGAATATGAGTTGTTTTTCCCATGCAATTCTCAGGTCTATCTTTTGGATTTTAATTGTATGAATTTATTATTAATTGTTCATATCAAGTGTCAACTCTAAGGCTGATTAAAAATTTTAAAAGGGCACAGGACACCTACAAGAGCAGAGCAATTTGTTAGGATGTCTTTCAACATTTGTAGTATAAAAAAATGTACTACCTCAGAATCGAGAGACTACTTCCACCTAATACCCTTCCCCTGATTAATTTAATAATTAAAATAAATTTGGTGTAAGCACTTAGCGCTTGCATTAAAAGCATGGTCTCTTTATAAGTCTTCGGAGACAAAAGCATCATTATTTAGTCTTGACCGAAGATCAGAAGATTAGGACAACCACTTACTATGTTAATCAGTAGCAAAACCAGTTGTTCCGCCTTTTTTAGTTCACTAAACTGATGATGCATGCACACTATAATCTTAGCCCATTGGTTTTGCAACTCTTCTTAAGAATTGAGAAATTTGTTTTATTCAGTTTAACTAAAAAAGACTCCCATTGTATAGGGTGGACGGAATAACATTTACTCCCTCCGTTCTATAATTATTGTCCAGTTTGTGTTTTTATTTTTAGTTAAAATTGTGCTAAAAGTGAAATCTCAAATTGAACAATAATTTTGGGACAGAGGGAGTATGTTTCAAATGTGGATTACATTTACACATTAGTGTAAATAGTTTGGATGGATTTTTCTACTTTCAGGATTATTTGTTAATATGATTAACATTTATGATTAAAATTGTAGTATTATAGTAGAGCTGAAATCATTTTCTGTTGCATATAAGAGGTCTAAATTCCAATATTATTAGACCATATTATACGTAATCTACAGTGAACAATCACTCCTATTCACTATTCATGTGAAGAAGATAAGAAGCAGTCTGAATTATTGTCTTGTAAATTCTGCACAATTACAATTTTTTGTGCTCGTAGTTTATGGTTGAGTGACCCTGGACACCGCAATCTCGTACGCCCAATTGGCCTAGCAATCAATGCCACCATAAAAGAATCTTAGATATTCCAAAATAAAACTTAATTAAACAAATTTATAATCTCGAGTTGAGGGTGAAACAGTAGAAGGGTAATTTAATTGGTGCTGGTGCAGATTGTTTACTCGGATAAGAGTGAATTCTAGTTACAACAAAGTTGTGTATTCAAACCTCAAGACATGCATTCAAGCGGCAAAAATTGTGCATGAGGACTATATCTTCCTATAAAGCAAATCTAGAGATTTATCAGCAACATACAAAAAAAAAAAAAACCATATTTAGAAAAAGAATTCGTTAAGAAAAATGGGAAAAAATAAATAAAATTGTCTTAGAACAATAGCAAAATGCTACACATTTATAGAAGTTGTTCTTTAAACACAAAAAAAAAAAGAACTCCTAATTAATAAAATCAAACCATTTTGATCATCACGAAAGATATGTACTTCACTTTTTTTACCCCCACACCTAGCTAAAAACGTCTCTCACAAAAACTATTTACTCCCCTAATTTTACTATTACACAGACTTACTACAATCGGCTTTACCAAAGCCCACTCTTTTATTAGCCAAATCAAATTCCACCCACATATTTTGCTGATGGAAATTCCCAACAATATTACTCGCAACTCCTAGTGACTCTGACCGCCCCATACCCAAACAATGTACACCTCCACCAACATCATCCAATATTCTCTCCTTCGGGATCACAATCTCCACACCCTTTTCGAATTGGAGCCCCATTTCTCCGATCAACTCTCCGATTGCCGTCGGATTTCCGTCGAAACACATGTCCAAGGCCCCACCATAAACGTAGTCCTTTTTCAGCTTTGGTCCTGCAAGACGTACAACTTCTTCCCTCACCTTATTGTACGCTTCCTCCACTAGGAAAGTGTACTGGGTGCCGGAATCGATCATCGTCTGCCCCGACCCGCCGGCGTCCGGCTTGAACACGGATTCCGGGATCGCCAATTTCTTGGCTCCGATTCGGATGCCCACCAGCCCGATGGTGTAGGCCAGCGGGTCAAAATTGGGCATGCGTTGACTCTCGGGAAAAGTCAAAAGCGGAATGTATTGGAATGTGTTTGAACTGGGATTTTGACCCAGGTAAAACCCTCCGGAAGCCGCGGCGTTGCCCTGTCGAGCTGGCACGCAGTAAGAAAACTTCTGAAGCTTAGATTGTGAGGCGAAGGACAAACGGCCCTGATTCATTCCCAGAATACCCTTGTCTTCGGCGGACTCCGTAGCACATCCGAGGACAAGAGGAGGGGTAGACTGGGAATTGGAGAAAGTGAATTTTTCTCGGACGAGGTTACCCTCCGCAAGAGTGCCGTCGGCGTAGAAATAGGAGTAGTGGCAGAGCTTCCTCTGGTCGCAGGAAGTCGGGAGGGTAAAATCGGGAATTCGAGGCTTACACATGGGATGAGTACAGGGGAGGACAGAGAAAGTGGAGGAGAGGGAAGGATCAAACGACGTCGTGGGCGGCGGAGACAGCCGCCGTGGAGTCACCGGAGCGCCGTTCTTCTTGTCGTGGCACTGAATCCAGGAGAGCTGGCTCCCGGTGTCCAAAACCATCTGCTGACTCTGTGGTGGGGTCCCTATTGGTAGTGAAACAATCAGAGCCATTGAATACTTGAAGGATGACTTGTAGTTGTACGATGATTGTTGTTGTACCACCTTGTTGTTGTTGATGTTATCATTTTTTGAAGCAGCAAGTGATGCAACAAAGCTTGTCTTTGAAGATGCATGTTTTGATGATGATGATGATGAAGACAGAGGAGTTGAGGTTAAAGGAAATGCAGCAGAAAAAGAAGCGTCATTCTGGGCTGCTAATGAAAGGTAGAAAAAAGAATCAAACAATATTAAGCAGAGAACAAAAGTGGAGGCCATCGATAAATTTTATATTTATATGCTGGAGTTTTCAGGTTTGAAGTGAAGGTTTTAATTTGGAGACTATAGAGGAAGAGTGGGGGAGACAGGGAAGAGTAGTGTGAAGTTTGAAGGGGAGATTTGGGTTGGTATTTATATGGGATTTTTAAAAAGGGTGGGCTGGGAAAACAACAATACAAGGCCAAAAAAGTAAAAGAGTGGGGTGGAATACTGGAATGGGGGAAAAAACGCGGTTTTGTTATTATTATTTGCTGAGTTGTTTAATGATCGTCCTTAGTCATAACCTTAGCTAAGTTGTTTTTGTACTAGAAAAAGGTAACCCCGGGGGTTTTATTTGTTAATTTTCTCTCTACCAGTAACTCTTTCTCTCTTTAACGTGTACAACTATATAGGACTGTTTACTTGTGATGGTTACAAAAACGCGCCACTAATTAAATTTCAAAACCTAAATATTCAAGAATCTAGTGTTTCATACATAGAGTAGTTTGAACAAAATAAAAATGTAGAGAGAGCTGAGTGCCCGTGAAATAAATTTAGAGTTTTATATATATATATATATATATCTAATCAAATTCACGTGTCAGATATTTAGTGGCTATAGTTGAAGGGCTGTACCCTTTAGATATTTTGTTGAATTTAAATTGGTAGGGTACTGGAGGAATAATAATGTTATAACCCATAAATTTGGGTAAAATTTGAAGTGAAGATAGAGAAGAAAAGAAATGTGATGGCAACTGGCAAGTGGCAAAGTGAAGTCTCACATAGAGGAGGGTGATCCTAAAATTAGGTGAGGGTCTGAGTCACCCTATATTTAGAGGGATTCTGTGTCTCAATTTGGAGGCCCTTTTGACTTTTGAATATATATTTTTGTTTTTAAAGAGTAGTACTCCTATTTTGTTCGAGTTTTTTTTTTTTTTTTTGGGTCCGAGGTTTTGATTGTAATTTTCACCTTCATTGAGTACCACCCCAAATAGCTGGCGTTTACCTGATGCAAATGAAACAAGCCAACTTTAGTTCTTGGATCTGATATTTTCTGCTCCCCTTCGTCTAGCTTGTTTTTCTTCCTTCCTTCCTTTTTCCTTTGAAATTATCAAAACAAAAATCTAACGGCCCTTTCGGTAACCTAAATCGAGGTCCTTGCCAGCTAATTATAATACTTTCCCGAATCGCCACTAATAATTCTAATACTAATTGTTTAGTAGTAATGCTTTACGGTAAGTAAAAAAATTTAAACGGAAGAGTGATATGTATTATTGATGAGTAGTATTTGAAATTTAAAAAAGAAAATGTTAGTATAGGGAAAATACAAAAAAGAAAATGAAGGGCCGCGGAAAAGTGAATTAGAAACTTCCAGCCCTCATAATTTCCTTCTTCCAAAGTTCCAACTAATAGTGATAGCTACGCTTGTACGGCTGTGGTTCACCTAAATTAAAATCATTATATGTGAACAAGAATTTTTTTTATTTATTTATTTTTTTTTACATATTTGCAGGGTGTCCACCGTCAATTTCTTTTTAAAATTTTAATCACAAACAAATATTACAAATCGAGTGATGAAACAAAAAGAGTGTCCCCAAACAGCAGCTTTCTTTTTTAGCGCTTCTCATGCTTTTCCACTTTGCCCAACGTATTAAGAAATCCTTTAATCAATAACAACTCCTCAAATCATAATCTCAAACCACTTTAGCGAACATCAAGAATTTCCCTTTATTTTGGTTCAAAAAGGTACAATCTTCTTACTTATAATGGAGAAACTTCTTTACTTCTTTGGATGACGATCTTTGTTCTTTCACAATAGTTCTTCTGTTCACATTTTCTTTCTTTTTTTCCCCGTGGGATAATATTTAGAAACATTATGGGACCTAAATAGAGTAAGCGGCTAATTGGGTCCCGACCGTGACTCCATGACTTAATCATACACGTCCACTATAGAGTTTCTCTTATGCAAATAATTTGGCACTAAAATCCATATCCCTTAATTTTTTGAAGAAAAAAAGATTCTAAGCATGGTTTCATTCGCGGCGCCTCCTCTTTTGCAGACATCCTCCGATTTCTTCCATTTTCGGTGGTCTCTCTTGCATTCCATTCTTTTCGTTTGCTTTCAGCTGGTGGAAGATATTCTATTTTTTTCCCCCAGTATATAATTGTAATATATATATATATATATATATATTTGTTTTTATTATAAAATGAAGCCCTATTCTCCTTCTACATCTTTTGCACGGAACCTCGAAAAAATCTTAACATACACGTATCACAGTCATATTAATTTTACCTGCCGATTAAGGTGGAATCTTTGGGGAAAAAATTATTTAATTTCCCAACAATTCCAAGTAAAACGGTCTTCAATTAAAGTTTCCAACTCACTCATTTAGTTTTATAAATTTTGTTTGTTATATAGATTGTTAAAAGACAAAAAGCACGAGCTTTTATCAAGGGATGGAGGGACTTTTAATTCCTTTGTTCATGACGTATCATGTCTAGGCTCCTCGTGAGTTCGTGTACTGTAAATCTAACTACGGGGCAAAAGAAATCATTTCTTGAGGTAATAATGAGTCGATGAGTCATGGGTTGGATGAAAACTGAAAAGGGCAATCGGCAAGAAAGTAAATTCTACGCCTTTGAGTTGGACACGTTATCATCCACAAACAACCTTAATTAAGCTTCGTAGCTGAATTCCATTAGAGATTATTAATAAGTACTACCAATAATTATGCTTTTAATCGATTGAACTAGCTAGGTTCAGGTTCAATTCCAACATATTATTGGTGTTGGCGGGTACCTTGACACGGTTTAATAATGGCCTGACGAATATAGCACGTTTATTTCGAAAACAATTCTTGAAATTGTTGCTTTACCGTAGTCAGGTTCTGAAAGTACTTAAACAAGATTATTAAGGAATGGACTTTTTTTTTAATATAAAAAATAAAAATAAAAATCTACAAGTAAATCTTAATTTGGAGCATCTTTAAAACCTATATTTTACATTTCACGGGTTTTCTTTGCTCGTAAAAAGAAAGGGTTTCAGGTTGAAAAGATTGTTCAAATGTTTAGGGTTTAGAATTGCCTCGCAAGAAAATGTCATAAATTGACAGTAAATGAGTGGCTTCTAAGGAAACAAATACTACTATCATTTTCCTTCGACGTCTTAATTCGCACACGTGTGAAATATAGAGCTTGTGAACGCCTTATTTGGTTAAGCCAAATTGCACAACAAATTTTCTTTTGATGTTTTTTTTTTCTTAATTTTAAGATTGTAAAAAGATTATGTATAGCTTTTGTCTTACGGGATAAAATGTTACTTTTACGTCTTATGAGTCTTGAATTTCCGATCTAAAAGTTCGCATATTTCATGCGCAATTGACCTCTCAACCGACTTATCTTCACCAAGTCCTTTTTTTTTTCCCCGATTCAATTTCAAAAAAAAAAGAAAAAGGGATCTGCATTCTATCATCTTCCCGAATCAGGATGAATTAATGTTTCCTACATCATTTTCATTCTGGAAAAAAAAAAGTGAAAAGATTTGGCAACGGTGGAGGGCATCCCTCGCATCATTTTTTCAAGGAGGCTGTCGTTGGTTGCCACGAAAAAACGAAATATTCACGTGTACTCAAATCTTCAAACACAAAAGAAAACTGGCACTGCTCCTACGAAAATGACACATCCCATAAATTCAATTTCAAAGTTGAATCACACAAACATATTGACAAAGAAGGCAGGAGGAGTCAAGTTTTCTTATACTACTAGGTGTTAAATCAAATGGAGCCAAAGGATAAGGTGATGAATCAAAAATTAAATTATGACAGTGTTGTTTGAGTAAAAAGAGACCTCCCACGTATACCCTAAGATGCATGGTACGTAGTTATCGCTATTCGGTAATCACAGTTTTCCTGGAATTTGCGAAACAAAAATTGTGGATTATTTTAAACCCATGTGTCTTAATCCATGAAGAGATGACAGAAAGACGTGGAAAGAGGGGGGGACTTTTTTGAATCTTGACCTCTTCTTTTCTTATGGTTTCTGTCAGGAAAAAAAAATGTGATGGATTAATTTGATGAATGATGATGAATGATTCAACACTTTGGTATTTGGTGTCAATGGCTGGTTTGTCACGATTCGATATTTAGCTTGTTACTTTCAGTCTTGATTTGACCGTCTGCCCAACAAGTAACAATATATATATGTAATAATTATTACAACGAAAATAAAATTTCAACGGAAAGAGTATTGGATTTCAGCAGCCTCAACATTCCGACGTAGTGGTTTAATTCATTAGAAAGTTGTTTACGCTTTACTTTGAGTTATTGGCTCTATTTTTATAACACAATATATGAAATTTGTTATTAATTAATAAAAGTAATTAATTGTTTTAGCTCTGCACTCGTTTTCCTATTCGGAAAAAGATTGATTATTTGTCCACTAGTACAGTGACTTCATGTCAATCACAAATTAAATTGGAAAATGCACCAAATTTCTCTGATTGTGAAAATTCACATGTTAAAAGAATTGGGATACACTTACCTTAACTATCTTTGAAGCTTCAGCAGCATCATAATCATTTTTAAGTTTTTTTTTTTTTTTTTTTTATTTGAAAAATGTATACCACTAAAAGGTCCAAAACTTATAGGGATGAAGTGATGAATTGCAGTGCCCGCATTCCTAATGCAGAGTTAAGGTTTGAACTTGTCCCTGGGGAAAAAAGAGCGCTGGGAGAGATTTGTGATCTTAAAAAGAATAAGTTCCAATATGTTTTGTATCCGGTCAAGTGCTTTATGTTTTTTATGTTATGAAATGATTGTATAATTTAAATTTTATTTATAATACGAATTGAATGAAAAGTGAAAATTTTTAAATTAAACAATTATTTCGAATAGAAAAAATACATAATTACAAATTCAATTCCTACGTAACCTTGTTTAAATGAGGTCTTACATGCATAGAGTATGGTGCTACAAATCAATATGAAAGTCGGGGCCATGCCAAATTATGGTGTCACATATCCACTGGCTACATATTTTGGAAACCTTGCTAAGGTCATATTTTCCACTTTGAATATGGTTGCTATTTGTTTGTACTTAGAAGTGACAGCATATTCCCATTGCATCAAATATTGCGGTCATCATAGTATGGCCACAGCCTTATATGACTTTCTTTTTTGGTGGTTTGGAATTTTCTCTGTGTTTGTGTCAAATAATTAGTTTCGATATTTTCTATCCATCGGTTAACGTCTTACTTGACAACTCTCTCGATTTAATTAGCCTTATCGATCAATTCCCATCATCATTATATGTATAAGAATCTCCAAAAAGTAGTTTGTTGGTACTAATTTCAATTTGAGTTGAATTATTGCATCACCTAAACGTAACTAGTCCTCCACTCCTCCCCAATATTCCTCCACTCTCAAGTTCATTATAAAAAATAAAAAATAAAAATACTAAAGTTCCTTATCTTGATTATA